TATTTTTTTTTGACAACTTTTCTTACTCCATATATCTCCTCACAGTATTACAAATATTAAAAATAAATATAATACCTATCATCATCAGTATTTTTAATTGGTAATCCATTTTCATTCTTCTTTTCATTCATGAATTTTATAATAAATATTTACATTTAAACATAATTATTTATTGAAAATCCTACTTTTTTATTTAAAAATTGTGGTTTCTTTATTTTAATGTTTTAAAATGGTTATTTTTGTTTTAATTTTTAATAATATTCAACTTAAGTTATTTTTTTACTTTGGTTTATTTCACAAAATTGTTTGAAAAAGAACAAAAGTGGTTATTTTAATAATAATTTATGTTATTAGTGGCATATTTTCAAAGATTTGTGCAAAGGATCATATTCATATATTTTGAATCTATTTTATTACACTAAAAAATGTGTAACTTACCATGACTAATATTAGATTTGTTAATATTTTAGCTATTGATATAATTGTTATTAATTAAGTTCAATTTATATAAATAATAGAATATCTGAAGTTATAATTCAGTATTGTATGGTCTCAAATTATGTAAATTGAATTGTTTTTTYTTAGATAAAGTAAAATTATTATACTTTTGGACAATTATTGTAAATATGCCACTTTATTATGTTATTATAGTTACTTGTTCTTGTTTTTTCTTTGTTTAAACAATAATGTTGTAGCATAGAACAAAATGAATTATTATTATTATTATATATAAAAAAAATATTATGTTAACTTAATATTTAATTACTATTATCTAGTCTTTGTTAATTCTTATACAATTTTTTGTCAGGATCAGATCTCTAATGTTTAAGGGAAGGGGTGTGCTTGGATATTTTTTCCTCATGCAAATCTACCAGATATTTTGGTCAGATTTGCTTTTGAAATGTTGCAATATAATGTTACTTGATTAACTATGTATAATTTTTTTTTTTATAAATTTAATCAAGTATTTTGTTGTTTTTAGTTAATTTTTTTACTGTTTAAAAATGCACATGACTTATTAATCTATATGTTTAAAAAGTTGAGTTATTTATTCCCTAAAATGTTAGTTAATAGGTGAAACATTTGCATTTAAATTGTAATTCTATATGTTTTTATAATCAAATAGTACAGTTTATTTTCAATGAATTATTAATTGAGGTCCGTCCTTATAAAAAGTATTGATATCAGTGGTTTATATTTATAATGTAATGAATAAATAATGACTTTAATTAATATTTAATTTTTTTTTTTTTTTGAAAACTATTGTATACATTCCTAGAAGTCTTATACATTATTAATAGACTGGAAAAGGCAAAAGAGTAATATTTTTCATTCCGTTCAGAATATACAATTTCATCAAATAAACACCAGTCATTTACTCCATTTATGTACAAAAATTGTGCAGAATGGTGTTRTTTGCTTATATTAAATATAAGCAGCTTTCGTGCTTCTTTAGATTGTCTGTGATAGTCTTTGTGTGTTGCACTGACTAGCTAGGAAATAACATTGTTATCTACCTAGAGTTTTATTTTTTCTATTGTTTCAAAGTTATGTATTTTTTTTTCTTGATATTAATTACAATTAAATAAATTTCCATTTCTGTGATTTGATAAAAAATAACATTGATAGTTGTAAAAAAAAGAAGAAATAATCAAATAATTTTGTTTAAGAATGTTAAGAAAATTATTTTAGTCCCTTCAATGTTAATTTTCCATTGTTGTTTGTAAAGGATTATTTTGAAATGTACAATTATAATTTTCTATCAGTATTTTGAATATTAATAAAATTAAATTTGTAGTGGTTTTGCTTATTATTTGTTTATTTTTATCCTTGGCGTTTTGGAGTTATAATTTTATTTTATAAATGTTTTGCATCTTTCTTAATTTTGAAATTGCTAACCTTGTGACAAATATATCTAGGTTATCCACCTAGTTGACATTTAAATATACCCTCATATGTCTATGGGTTTTGGGTTGATGATATACCTACATTAATATGTTTGAAGTGTGTTAGAGTTAATTAAATGTGGTAAWAGTAATTAAATAGGCAACTACTATATTTGTAAAATGATTAAAATAGTTTTATCAGAAGCATACTATCATAGGTATTAGGTATATATAGTCAATATGCAAATATCATTTATAAATAAGGATAAATTAATTAATGTCAATATATAAAAATAGATTTATCAAACAATAAATATATTTATCTGTACACTTTAATAATCTATTTCTATGTTTAAGACTTAAGAGTAATAGCCAATAGGTACCTATAAGTAGAAGTTATTTTAAATTTAAAAATATTTTTTAAGAAAGAAATCTTCAAATTATAAAATAAAATACACTTGAGCTGTGGTTGAAATTTTCAGGAATTCATTACCTGATATCTACTGGTTAGTATTTAAATGGAAGTATACTGTATACTTTATTGTTCAATAAAAAAAACTTTGTTTTAAGAGGAATTATATAACTGGCTGACTCGCTGACATATCTATCATTTATACCTGTGCAGTGTGCACCAATTTCTCAACATTGTACTTAAATAATTATATTAAACCTATGGACATCGAGTGGTGTCATTTGAGAGGGAAAAGATCATTTGTCGCTGTCTGGTTGTAAAATCAGTTCACTTGTTGTGGAATAACATTGCTATAATTTTTTAAGGTTTGGAAATATAATTCTATGAAATTGTACGCACAGATAACTAAATATAAATAAATAATTATACAAAATTGAGTAGATATGTATTAGGAAAKCACTAAAAATCTAATATAATGATAATAAATTTTTTGTTTTTTATGTAGGG